AATGTCCAGTGGCACCTTCTGACCTCCGTCCCTGGTCTAACCCAGCACCCCAGCACGATTTTACATGTCTGCTGTCTGGTGCATTCTTGGGCTTTTCTTTATACTCTTGTCATCTTCTCACGCTTAGCTCACCTCCCAGCGATGTGTGTGCGAACGACCTCACGTTTTCAAGGAGACACTTTAGAACCACTGGTCAGTCAGTCGTCACTCTCAGCTGTGGGGCTAGTAAAGGTTTAAGTGTGCACAGAAATTCCTAGGCTGAAAAGCCAGATTCATAACCTTGACCAATCAGTAAACAGAGAGGTCCTCTACCCCTCCTGTCTAGAAGAGGCGAAGGAGTAGCACAGAAAGAGTCATCACAATGAATGGGGTTAGTGAGTTCTGTAGGACTAAACTGTCTTTGAAGAACCAGTTCCTGCCTCACTTCTATGGTGGAGGTGTCTGGATTCAGTTCTCTTCTGTTGCTACCTACGATTAGCACCTTACTTAACTCATACCTAGTCACTGGGAGAGACAAATGAGGACACTACAATGACTGGATCACCAAGCAGATTTCATAATATAGACTTGTTGGCAATCCAGCCAAACAACCAGACTAGCTGAATGAGACATAATATTTTCTTGGAATTGTAGTATAACATATCTCAAGCAAATCTTAGAATATAGGACAAAAATTCTAGAAGGAAAACCACTTGAAAGGCTTGGGTGGATGAGGAAGAAAAAGGATATTTACATTTCTAAAACATCACAGGCACTTTGTATGTTAAACCATGAAAGAGACTCCAGGTCAAACATGAACTGTACAGACAAATCCTTAGCTGGGTTAACCAAGAAAAAAAAAAAAACAGGACTCATAACTACAATCTGAAATGAAAGATGGGACATTAAAACCAATGCCACAAAAATAAAAAGGATTAAAGGAGAATAATATGAAAAATTGTATGCAAACACTGGATAACCTAGAAGAAATAAAGATATACAACCTATCAAGATCAAAGCCAAAAGAAAGAGAAAGTCTGTTCAAACCTCTAACTATTAAGGAGATTAATTCAGTAATGAGAAACCCCCCAACAAAGAAAAGAGGACCAAATGGATTCACTGGAGAATTCTACCAAATTTTAAAGGATTAATACCAATACTCCTCAAACTCTTCTCCACAATTAAAGAAGCTCATTCTATGAGGCCAGCATTACCTTAGTACCAAAGCCAAACAAAGAAACTATAAGAAATTGATACAAATATACTCAGCAAAATACTAGCAAACTTATTTAAACAGCACATTAAAAGGATTATACATGATGACCAAGGGGGAACACAAGGATGGTTCAACATATGAAAATCAATGTGACGTACCATATTAACAAAATGAAGGACAAAAACCACATGGTCATCTCAACTGATGCAGAGAGGACATTTGACAAAACTCAGCACCCTTTCATGATATAAACACTTAAACTAAGAATAAAAGAAAACTACCTCAACATAATAAAGGCCATATATGAAAAGCCCACAGCAACATCATTACTCGATGTGAAAAGGCTGAAAGCTTTTCCTCTGGGATCAGGAACATGAAAAACATGCTTTCTCTTGTCACTTTTATTCAACACAGCACTGCAAGTCCTAGCCAGAGGAAATCAGGCAAGAAATAAAAGGCATCCACGTTGGAAAGGAAGAAGTGAAGTTATCTGTTCACACATGACATGCTCTTATACGTAGAAAAGATTCCACACACATACACAAAACTGTTATAACTAATAAACAAATTCAGCAACATTGCAGGATACAAAAATCAACATGCAAAAATCAGTTGCATTTCTATACACTAACAATGAAGAGTCTGAAAAGAAAATTTAAACGCTTCCATTTACAATAGCATCAAAGAGAAATAAAAGTTAACCAAGAAGGTGAAAGACTTGTACACTGAAACAACAAAACACTGCTGGAAGAAACAAATAAGAAAGACACAAATAAAGAAGACACACATAAATGGAAAGACATCCCACGTTCATGGAATGGAAGATTTGATATTGTTATGTCCATACTTCCCAAAGCGATCTACAGATTCAGAGCCATCCATATCAAAACTCCAAAAGCAATTTTTGTAGAAATACAGAAATCCATCCTAACATTTATATGGACTCTCAATGGAACCTGAAGCACCATAACAATCTTGGAAAACAAGAACAAAGTTGGACAATCTCACACTACCTGATTTCACAACACATTACAAAGGTACAGTAATCAAAACAGTGTGGTGCTAGCACAAACACAGACATATAGACCAATGGGATAGAACAGAGAGCCCAGAAAGAACGCCTCACACATATGGCCAAATGAGCTTCAACAAGACTACCAAGACCACTCAAAAATGGGGAAAGGACGGTCTCTTCAACAAACTTGTGTTGGGGAAAGCGGATATCCACGTGCAAGGAACAAAGCTGAACTCTTACTTTATAGCATACACAAAAATTAACTCAAAATGGATTAAAAACCTAAAGGTAAGAGCTAAAACTATAAAATTCCTGAAAGAAAACATGGGGAAAAAGCATTATGACACAGGATTTTTTTTTTTTTTTGCCGTATGCAGGCCTCTCACTGTTGTGGCCTCTCCCGTAGCGGAGCACAGGCTCCGGACGCGCATGCTCAGTGGCCATGGCTCACGGGCCCAGCCGCTCCGCGGCATGTGGGATCCTCCCAGACCAGGGCACGAACGTGCGTCCCCTGGATCGGGAGGCGGACTCTCAACCACTGCGCCACCAGGGAAGCCCCCTTTGCCCATTTTTTAATAGGGTTATTTGTTTTTTTCTTGTTGAGTTCTAGGAATTCTTCATAAATTCTGGATATAAACCACTTATCAGATACATGATTTGCAAATATTTTCTCCCATTTCATAGGTTGCCTTTTCACTCTGTTGACTGTGTCCTTTGATACACAGAACTTTTTAAGGTTGATGTACTCCCATTTGGCTGTGTCTGCTCTTGCCTGTGCCTTTAGTGTCATATCGAAGATATTAAAAAAATCCTGTGTCGGGCTTCCTGGGCCCTGGGCCCTGGGCCCGTGAGCCATGGCCGCTGAGCCTGCGCGTCCGGAGCCTGTGCTCCACAGCGGGAGAGGCCACAACGGTGAGAGGCTCGCGTACCACAAAAAAAAAAAAAAAAAAATGGGCAAAGGACTTGAATAGACATTTCTCCAAAGAAGACATGCAAACGGCTAACAACATATGGAACAATGCTCCGTGTCATTAATCATTAAAGAAAGGCAAAATCAAGAGAGAATCACTACACACACATTAGGACAGCTACTATCAAAAAGACAAAAAATGACAAGTGTTGGTGAAAATGTGGAGAAACTGGAACCCTTGTGGGCCGTTGGAGAAAGAATAAAATGGTACAGCCAGTATAGAAGACAGTTATGGTGGAGCTTCAAAAGACTAAAAACAGAATTACCTTATAATCCAATAATCGCACTTCTGCGACCATACCCAAAAGAAATGAAAGCAAGGTCTTGAAGAAATATTTGTATATACATGCTCACAGCAGTGGTTTTCACAACAGCCAAGAGGTGGAAGCAACAGAGTTATCTATAGACAGATGAAGAGATAAACAAAATGTGGTCCGTACAGTGGAATATGATTCAGTCTTCAAAGGGAGAAAATCACATGCTACAACATGGATGAACCTTGAGGACATTATGCTACATTTAAAAAGCTAGTCACAAAAGGACAAATACTGTATGAGGCACCTAGAGCAGTTCAAATTCACAGAGACAGAAAGAAGAAGGGTGGGCGCCGGGGGCCGGAGAGGCGGAGGAATGGGAGTTAGGGTTTAATGGGGACAGAGTTTCAGCTTTGCAATGTAAAAAGTTTGAGAGATGGAGTGGTGATGGTTACACAACAACTTCAACATTCTCAACACTACCGAGCTGTACACTAAACATGGATAAGGTGGTAAATTTTAAGCTGCTTCGTGTGACATACGGATGTGTTTCCATCACTAGAGTTTGTCAGGATTACTGGGTGTGCAAGCAGCCCAGAGGCAGCCGATGAAGGGAGTGTGAATCGCGGTGCTTGTACCCGTGCGTGAGGAGTGTGTGTGTAATCCAAGAACAGTCCACATGGTTTCTGTGTGGCACAGGCAGCGGTATTAGCAGGGCCGTTTGACAGGAAATTCTCTGGTTCCAGGGAATACTCAATCTGCCCCTCTGGATGTGTGTACAAATACAGATAACAACACATGTTTCAAAAATGATGATGACTCATATGAATACAATTTTGAATCCAAAATTACTGCTAAACTGTAAACTTCTTCTCCCTTAGCACCAGGAATTCTAAAGACTGAGTTTTCACCTAAAAATCTTAAAATAACACTTCATTTTTAAGCATTTTTTTGTCCCTGTAATCTAGAACATTCTTGACCTTCTCACTTGTAGTAAGAACCAGCAGCCAATTCCGTTGTGATCAACCTTCAGTTAACATTCCCCAAGGGAGAAAAATCATCTTCCCTTTCAAAGGAAAACAAGTAAAGAGAGCGATAAAGGCCATACAAACAGACATGTCAGAACAGAATTATGACTTTAACTTAAAAAAAAAAATTAAACTTTTTTGGGGAGATTTAGGTGCTTGCTTATCATCAACATGTTAAAGTTGGCATAGCTGCTGAAACCTTAGTCGGTGTTATCTGATTGTGAAAAGAAAAAGCCTTCTGTCAGGAATGTAATCTTTACATAATACCCATGCAAGCACAATGCAAATGTTTTTGGACCTCAGGAGTCAGTGAAAGGAACGCATATTCTTTTAAGAAGCCTTTAAAAAGACAAGATTGAATCGCAGCACACAACAGCATCCACCAAACTCTCTCTCGAGCCCCTCTGAGCCTCACAAGGAAGAGAATTTTCCAAGAAGTTATCAAGACCAAAGGACAACCCTAGCATGCCCCGCATGAGTCTGTGAGAGTCACTACTAAGGCGAGAGACACGATGGCGAGCATGGCAGAGGGCAGCACCTGGCATGAGCGCGGCGGTGGGGAACACCTCCTTCAGCTTCGCCTGGCTGGCTTCCACCAGCTCCTCCTTGGACGTCGGGAGCTGCAGGGTGTCTACGATGATCTGGGCCGCCTCCAACGCCGTCTTACCCATAACGAGGGACTTCACATCCCAGCTGTATTTCTTCCCATAGCGACCGCAGACTGCCTCAAACACCACTGAGTACAGCCGTTCAGTATCTGCAGACACAGTGAGACGAAGACACAGAGGCTTTTAGGGTGCACGCGGTGGTAACGCCAAGTCTACATCAGAGAAGCACGTGTGTGTGTTCATAGTGCAGGTCAAGTTCAGGGCAGAAAGCTCTCTCGGGGAGACTTACGGACGTGAGAGAGACGTTCTCAGGCCATGGGGACCAGACGATGCCCTGGGCAGCCTGTCTCTGCTGCTCGGGAACGTTACAGGCTGGCCCAGAAAGGAAGTCTCTAGTACAGTGAAACTGCCTTGTCTACGCGCACGCACGCATCTGGGCCTGAGCACGCGCTTGACACCCTGAGCTGGTCCTCCCAAGCGTGCACCGTGACGGCAGCACGCAAGGGTCTGTGTGCGAGCCCTCTGCTGTTAGGGATGTGCCCCGAGGAACTACTCCCACCCGGCAGGAGCGCCTGGCCGCGGGCGGAGCAGTGAAGTGCCTACGCAAGGACAGACACTTGTGCGCGGCTCTGAGTAGGAACACACAACTCCTGTGCTTCTCGTTTCCTCTCACGGGACCAGATCCCTCACGGCACTTGTGTCATCAGGCATGGGGGGCGGGGGGCTTCGCCCACCAAGCCTTCCTGCAACAGCGGCGGCGTTTCCTGCAACGTACCTGGATGCTGACGCTCTGTGGTGAAGGGATCATTCCCAGGAGGCCGCCACCCACCCCGTGGCTGCTTCTCCCGGCAGCTGACCTGCCCTTCCCCTCCCCACCCGCTAAATGTGTCGTGCTAGGGCCTCCCTGTAGGCTGCTTCCCCGGACAAGCCCTGGGCCCTCAGCCCCACGGTGGCATGCTTCAGCCTTGACGATGACCAGCAACAGAAAGAGCTTTTCTTTCTCCTCTGCTTTTCAAGGCAAAATCATCTACAGCTGCGTATCAAGTACGCTCAGCGCTTTAACTCTTTGGGTCCTCACCATTCTACCACGGGCTGGATTCTGGGGGGACGGTATAAGACACGCAACAAAAAGATCTCAGATATCCACCCTCAGACATACTCGCCAGACCATGCTTGGGCATGACCCCTGGGCTGGGTAATACATTCCAGCTTTTGTTTCCTTTTCTTTTTTTGGTACAAAAGAAGGTGGGACTTGAGGAAAAGTCTTCCCGGGATCCTTGGTAGAAGCAGCCAGCGTCTGCATCATAACCTGAGTGGTTCTAGTTTTTCTAGAACCACGCTGCACTTAATCTCCCTGAAGAAGTCCCAGCAAAGAGGGAAGGGCTGGTGCACCCTCCGCTGGACGCTGAGGAGGGCTGCCTGTCGCACATGCTCTTTTACAACCTTCTCGCCTGTGAGCGGACACAGAGGGAGGGCTCTCGGGGTGTGGGGTGGAGATGGATGCACTGGCAGGGAGGCATTACATTTTACCTTCTACACGTGAGCACTTTTCTTCTAGCGGTAGAGAGAGAGAGAAAGACTGACAAAAAGACATCGCCGGCACCCAGCGAGTGAGAAACCACTGATGGGTTTGCAAAGGCTAGGGAGTGCCAGGAAAAGCAGCAGAGGCCGGGTGGGGAGTTAACATGAGGGACTCGTGCTGAAGCAAGTGGACGGGGAAGGAGAAAGGAGCATGAAAAAAGACTAATTCTGAAGACAGAAAACAGCTGTATTCTTTAAAAATGCTTCAAGCAGCGTTTATTTAAAGCGGAAGCTTTTAATTTAAAAGGCACAGAACGGTGGGATTATAAATCTGTAGGAGACTGTGCCGACAGCCACTTTTCTTCACAATTTAGATAAAATCACCTCAAACCCTCGGTGGAATGAGCGAGGATCTGAATGCATCGCCAAGCTCCTCAGACCCGGCAATGAGTACGCCAGCTGACGACAGCGTACGATCAATGAAAGGGACAGCGTTTTGAAAGGAAAAGGTTCTCCAGAAGCTAAACTAAAATGAAGCCGCATAAAGTAGCTGTGCTCTGCGCCGTGCTTCTCGGTTATTTTTCACAGGAAACTCACGTGGTTTTCCACAGGCTACGTGCACACAAGCTGCTCCCTTACTCAGGTGTGTTAGGAAAGTACTGCAGGTACACGAGAACCTCAGCCCTGGGTGATGGGGGGGATAGGATCCAGGCAGCAGTCCCAGCAGGTACAGATGAAGGGATCAGGCAGGCAGTGACACGAGGGCATCGGATTGGGCGGGGGGCAGTGAGGGAGGTGAGCGGACAGACTCAGCCCAGAGGTTGGTATTTTCATCCGAGCTGCGGGCTGGGTCCCCAGGTGGGAAAACAGAAGGCACTGACGTTTAGGGTCACTGAACTGTTACTATAAAAGGCATCACCACACCTGGAAGGCCTCTCTGTTTCGTCTGAGGCTGAGCTTCTGTCGTACTATGCTTAGCAACAGCTTTTATCATCGAGAACGTATTTAAATGCTGGCTGAGTCCATCCCAGACTCTGAGGACGGTATCCGTTTGTGTTTCAGCTTATGAAGACGGAAGGGGTGAGCGTATTTCCCAACTTCTCTCTTGCACGAAGCTGCACCTAATCCAGTTCTAAAGGCATGATCTGCATTATTTAATGGCAAAACCCCTCAATCAACCCGAGAGTAAGAAGCATGTAGGGTAAGAGCTGGCTTGGTTTCTCTGCCCACCCCATCTCCATTTCTGTACCACACGGGCACAAAGCAAGGGCGTCCTGATCCGAGAGGAGCAGCGAATCCCCAGCCTGGCCACGCTCTGGCTGGACGTCCCAGGAGGAGCTGCTTCGCCTCGGTGACCTGCGGCTTCTGCCGGGGGAACCGTGGGGAGCAGCGGCCGCCTGCAGGCCCAGGCGTGCCGGAGGACTCTGGGCTGGGAGCCGGCCCCGCGCTCGGAAGCCCGGCTGGCCTGGGTTGGAGGTCCTGCCCCGGAGCTGGCCAGCCGCTGGGAACTCAGGACATGTGCTCGGCACCCCACTGGGCCTTAGCTTACCCGTCTGCACCCTGGGGGGTCTTCCCACGGGCACACATCTGCTAGGCGCCTGCGTCAGCTGAGCGGGTAACCGGCGCGCAGCTGTGAGCACGGCGCCCGGCCCTGCCTCCCCGCCTCTAGGGCCGTCTGGGGCACACGTGCCCTGCAGCGGCTCCGTGGAAGGCGGTCAGGGAGCATCTGTGAGCTCAGAGGAGACGACGAGCTCTGCTTTCCCTGCCTGCACACCACAGCTCCCAAAACGGCAAGGGCTGCTGCATCTGACAAGTCACAGGGCCTCGTTCCGGGTGCTTTACTTTAACAGGAAGTGGTAACCATTTGGGATTCCCTCCCACAGTGTTACACATTCCCTAGCTTCACAAATACTTGTTAATTGACCGCCCGGCCTAGGACAGGCACACTGACGCCGTGTCCCCAGCCCCATAATCCATAAACTTCCGGAAACGGAAAAGTTCTCATTTAGCAGCAAAAACAGAGTCAGTTTTAATGTTTAATATTTGGGACACTTAGCGTGAACCTTCTTGCACTTCCCTGTACAAACACCAACAGGCTTTGGATTACGGATGCCGCCCCAGGCCACCGCCACCGCCCCCCCCACAGAGCGTACATATCATGGAATCAATGCATTCCACTTTAAAATAATAATTTAAAAATCGAAATACAACTGGCTCCTCCGGTTTTGGAAACGGACTGTGGACCCACACTGATTACCGCTCTCCAGTCAACTTACACCTTCCATATCCTGTACACCTTGAACAAAGTGAGATAATGCTTCTCAGAACTTAATATATCTTGAGAATAGTCTTACTTTCCAATTACTAAAAAAAAAAAAAAGGAGGGCAAAGGTGACCTAAAGACACTGTTTTGTGCTACAGATAGTTCTTTAACGATACAACATACCTTTCCACGTGGAAAGGCAGAAGGGCCCATCTCGGGCTAAAATCAAATTGTCACAGTCTGGCAAACAGGGAGTTGTGGAAGGGGAAGCAGACTGATGTAGCCGGCTCCATGCTTCCTCTCACCCAGAAATGGAGCAGTCTTCTTCAGTGTGGTGAAAGCTACATAGTTTACACGTGAAACGGCTTTAACGATAAAAAGGCAGCGCACGCCACGGTACGTTCTGATCAAAGTGGTGGTGCCATTTTTCTAAGCCACCGTGGTAGTATACAGTAGGTAATCAATCACTGAATACACTCCTTGAAAAAATGCACTTCTTTTGTTCACCTACCACTGGTTTCCCTAATCCACTGGTCCTCAAAGTGTGGTCCCTGGACCAGGAGCGTCAGGAACGCAAATGCTTGGGCCTCAGCCCAGACCTACTGAGGAGAAACTGGGTGAGGCCCAGCGCTGTGACCCCAGATCTGCTGTGTGTTTTATCAACCTCCCCCTCCCACCAGCAGGAAACCAGGGTGTGCGTGCCTAACACAGGGGAGAATCACTGACCTGACCTGATTTTACCAAAGCCCTGTGCTCTGCAGTCAGCGATTTTAAAACCAGATCAAGTTTAACCAAGAAAAGCTTGATTTTAACGATTACACGCATAGATCTATTAGCAGAAATTAAAGAAAAAATAATCTATTTATACTTTCCTCTGTATTGCATCCCATGCATACTTAAACTTTTTTTTTCTTTTGAAGAAACATGTAGCTTGCAGTAAACTACAGACAACTTGATGGAACATGCTATACTGAAAGGATTAGTGAACTGGTTCATCTCTCTCCCAAGTGGAAATCGAGAAGAAGAAGGATGTCTAGCCCTGGGACCACAGAACAGGAAGCAACAGCTGTTGCCGGGGCCCTCGGTTTGAGAACAACTACTGAGACCGACACACTTGCTCTCTGCGCTTTCTAGCAGGGGATCCTTGATTTCCTCCAGTGATGAAGGACCTCACTGGAAAATAAGCGTCCGTTCCCAAAAATGTACTCTTAGGTCAAGCGGCACAGCCATCCTACGCCCTAAGCTCTAGATGACGAGAGCCTGCAGACGTGGCTGGTGCTTCTCAGGAAGACAGGAGATGAGCCATCCGACCCGGCGGGCTCTGCTGTCAGGGGCTGCCCAGAGTTTTTCTTGACTTCTCAGGGC